ATTTTTATTTTGAATTTAATACAATTAAATAGAACAAGTCGGAGTAATGTACTGTTGAAAATAAATATTTCACTTTACATTTTGTTACAATTTTTTTTTTAATAAAACTAGATCTAAATAAGTACATGTTATATGTCTATTAGAGAAAACATAAATCTGTAGATCGTATTGAAATATGGCCTGATTCAAAAAACGACTGGTAAAGAGTAAAATTTTTAAATCAATTAGGTAGGTACTTGTAAAATACAATGTAAAATAATGACTATCCAAATATCTATGAATATTCCAATTATTCCAAATGATAACAAAAAATACCATTGATACATACAAATGCAGAAAATAAAATATGACATTACACAATTTTATTATTTGACCGAAATTATGAAATACATTATATTAATTTACCATTTAATAATAATCAATCATAAATAAATTCTATATTCATTTTCAAAATTACATTTTCATTGATATTTAATTCAGGTCAAAACATGTTTTTTTTTTTTATATTTATCTAGAAAAAATTTTACACAATCACTCTATTGTAACACTATTTTATAAAGATCATGTTCTTGAACAGATAATAAATTTACTTATTTCATTTTACAATTTCTTTCCAATAAAATTTTTATTACAGACATCTAAATAAATGCATTCGTAGTTATGTAAGCAATAGTTGCCATTATTTTACACACAGAATTACAATCAATATTATTGTGTAAAGTTCATTCATATATTTATATTTTGAAGAGATATCCTTTTATCATAAACCATTTATAGAGTTAGATACAGTTATATAACACACAAACCAATTTTTTATGTTTCCGCAATTTAGTATACCTACACATACATTTGGGCAAACTACCACGTAAATATTCATCAAACGTTATTAATGTACTTAATAAATGAAGGCATAATACACTTACTCACTTATTGTATTTATAAAACTAAAGATTTGAACAAGATACATTAAATTTTGTTGACGGTAGACGGATCAATTTATTCATTAAGATTAAAATAATCAAATTTCTAATTAGTTTTTTATTTTTCAATCTCATAATAGTTACAATGAATTATTAAATATACTGATTTTCGTTCTTTGCACAATTAGTAAATTTACATTCCACAATAGAATAGTGATTCAGTGGGTATCTTCTATTAGGTTCATAACATAAAGCAAAACATGCAAGTGCAGCAAGTATCTACTGTCTTAATTAAAAAGGTCACTTCCAGAAATTATTTAAAAGGTTTTTTCCAACACAAACACCAAAATTAATTCTCATAAAATTCATATTATGACCTAATTAACATTACGTTACGTTTTGTCCAAATCATTCATCATTTCTCTTCTTCAACTTCAACTTCCATAGTGTATTCTACCTACGACGCGTCATAATCATATTATTTGTAAGTAAGTACGTACTTTTAAGTATTTATTTACTTCATCATTTTTACATTTGTCATAATTGATTGGGCCGGCCGGTCCCTTTTATTTATTTCATTTCATTAATGCAATACTCATTTATTGGTACAGTCTATTTTATATTTATTTTATAGTCGACTTTTATTAATTAATATATTATGACATTTTAGTCATTAACACTTGCTATGCATAGCCTTTTTTTATTAATGGGGTNTTTGTCTCGAAGCGCTGGTAGGGCCCAAAAGATAAGGAGACATGTAAAGTGCCCCATAAGGGCTACCTTTTTCTTTTTTTATTATTTTCTATTGACGTTCATAAGTGCCACTTGTGGTCTAAACTGAATAAATATTTTTGATTTTGATTTTTGATTTTCGACTTTTATTAATTAATATATTATGACATTTTAGTCATTAACACTTGCTATGCATAGCCTTTTTTTAATGGGGTCACGTTTTAAGATTACATTTATTTAAAAGATCTCCAACTATTTTCACGGAGAGAAGCTCGTCTACACCATGATCAAATGAAGGATCTGACACCCTATTACTGTACCTTGTACCATTATTATATTTTATTTATATACTTATTTTATATTGTCATAAAACGGGTCCACTTTTAAGATCCTATTGATCTCCAACGGTTTTTTACAGAGAAATCTCGTTTACACTGATTAAACTGAAGGATTTAACACCGTTTGTGCCTCTAGTTATGAGGTAGGGCAACCTTACCCTTTCTTCCTATCTCTACATAAACAAAACTCTGAAACATTCAATCTCAACATAATATTCTCGTATTTCAACCATGTCCACTATCATAACCAACACCAACTATCAAACCATTCAAAACGAATCCTTTAGCATAATTATTTTGTTGACATTTGGGTGATCAGTCCAAAAGTGTAATAAAACATTATGGCTAAAGTATTCCCTGTTTCTAGATTATCTATCGCTTCTTACATATTCATCACCATCTAATTGTCAATCATTATTTTCAGACTCATTTAACTACTTCTACCTGCTAACTATTTACCTACCACCGTTCTATCACTATTTGGAATGTAGCTAATGCAACTTATATTGATGCGAAGCTATTTTAATACATTCCTATAGCCATTCCAGTAATAACTCTTTCAATATTATTCCTACGTTTCCTCATCGCATATAAGTAAAAGTCAATTCCGTGAATTATTAGACACATCATTCTATTTAACTACCTATCTATGTCTCATTTTTTTTTATCTAATGCTTTTTAATGTAACTTGAAAATGAAAATTAAACATTTTTAGATAACCCACTGTTGAGAAAAATAACAAGTTAAACGGATTGCTGCATCCTATTATTCTACGTGTAGTAACAAGAATTCCAAATAAAATAGTTATGATACTTATCGAATAACAAAGATTAGATTGAGCTAATTTGCAAAATAATTCCTGGTACAAACATTGTTTGTGTTAGTGTTCGTTTCTCTATAAAGAAGGGCTTCATATTTCGCAAAATGCTGATGCTACAACACGTGTCGACAAATATGGTTCGATGCAAAATGATGCAATCACCTATCAAAAGTAAGACGATGTTTTAAGTTATTATGCAATTCAACTATTGTAATTTACAATTAATTCTACAAATCAATGTATTTTTTTTTAAATCTATAGATGTAATAATAAAACTATCAACATTTTAACACAATAAAATTGTTATAAGAAATCATATGATTTAACTTTAAACTTTATTAAGAATTTAAATGTATACGGACATACTGATTACGATGTTTTACTTAATATTATTATTATGCAAAAAAAAAATGATTGGATATTACAATCTTGAATAATTGAAAGCCTAAAAAGAGTTGTCACTTAAAAAATTGCAAATCCGATTGTACCTAATTACTTACGCCAATAAGTACATTTTTTTTTACATTTAAATTTGAGAAAACCAAATTAAAAGTTTTATGTAACATCATGTATTTTGTATGCAATCTGTGCAAATAATACCTAATGTGTTAAAGAAATAAATGAGAAATTAACCTAAATCTTTGAGAGAAAAAAAACTAATTGCCTCAGGCGGGATTTGAACCCACGAAATGTTTACAAATTTAACCACATAAAATAATAATTTTGTAAGTGTGTACTACATGTAACGTGTACTAAGGATAGATTAAAATGAATTAAATAATTTCAATATTATGAACAATTCATATTTCATCAAGTTAATAAATGCATCATACTTTAATAAATAGCCAATGGACTTTACCTCTATTTCAATGTAACTTTTGGAATCATTTAGAAATATGAAAACAAACTAACTATAACTGTTTTGTTGTGAATCAAGCATAATTTAAATGAATAAATAAAATAACTTTATCTACTACTTGTTAACTTTTTTAAATAATTTTACGAATTGTCGTATGTTATTATTATTAATGGGGTATAATCATGAAAAATGTTTATTAACAAAATAACATTGATTGTAAAGATGTAAATGAGAAGTAAAAGCTTATTTTCGCAATACAATAATTTGTAAATTACTTTGCCAAAATAATTATTTTTAAAGAAGTAAAAAATCTAGAACTTTGTTTAAAACATCATAATATTCGTACAGGCATCTAAAAATAACATTTCATCCAATCAGCAATTTTAACCTATCGTTATTCCTGACGTGTATAGCTACTTCAAAATGCAATAATCACAGTATGTAAAGTTATTTATAGGATTAATGGAGTAATGGAATGAATAATTAATCATATCACTTACCTTTAAAATAAAATTTGAGTAATTTTACTGTCGTGGAGCAGCAATCTATGTTGATAAAATTAGTTAATTCCAGTGAAGCAAAAAAAAAATTACGTTGTTTGTATTTACCAAAATTTCAGTACTAATTATAGCATAATAATGAAAATAGAATTGATCCGTCCATTCTCATTTACCTACCGTAATATAATAATCTAGCGTACATACTAGGTAACTTAGCGTGGCCACGTAAAAGTTAAATTAATAAAATTCCATTAAGGGAAAAAGAAAAAAAAAAGTATACAATGGGGTTGCCGTGTCTTCTCCGTTTTTTCGAAACTGCGTCTTCTCTTCTTATCCATTGACACGCATGACACTCCCGGCGGGAACCACAATCGTCACGGCTCCAACAACACCCAGCGCCCAGCAACAAACATCATCGACATCGGACTCCTACCATCGCCCGGCACCCAGCATAACTCGCCATTATTCCATTAGTTCATTTTGCTTCATTTTCAAAAACCTTGAGCACCATCATCGCCCGGCTGCCATCCAAATGTCTCCTCCAACGCACTTGATTTATTTTTCGTAGATATTATTTACCGCATCATCATTTCAAATAATTGTCCGACTTTAGTTTTTCACTTGTACACGAAATTAACATTTTATTATGTGCACAGCACTGCCCTAAGGCAGCACTGGCAGGGTCGCCATGTAATGTGGGGACCAAGGAGATGGAATGAAAAGATGTTAATTCGTCGACGATCGGTTTAATACTACTATTAAAATGACTTACAGCTAACTTATAAGTATATGCCTTGCATTAAGTTGGTACTAAAGGAGAGGTGTGTCATACACTACACGTCCTAATGGCTGAAATTATGATGATGATGATGAATTACAAATTCAAAACTTAATTATTTTTAATTTGTATGTTTTAGGCGGCCAGGCACGCAATTTCAGTGTATCGAGGTGTATCACCTAATTCGGCAACAGTTGATCGAGAATTGAGCAAAATCAAGGAAGAATTATGCTCTTCTATGCCGCTAGATTTGATCAAAGGTAAAATACAAATTAATTTTAAACTTTCGCGTTGCATAATCTATATAAATAAAAATGAATTGATGTTCGTTAGTCTGATTAAAACTCGAGAACGGCTGGGCCGATTGAGCTAATTTTGGTTTTAAAATGTTTGTCGTAGTCCAGGGTAGGTCTAAACGGTGAGCAATTACCTACGCGCGCGATATTGTTTATCTGTGACAGACAAAATTCCACGCGGGCGAAGCCGCGGGCGGAGAGCTAGTTGAATTAATATAAACAGGTTTTAATGCGATATGCGGACAGAACGGCATCACAGAATAGGGACACAATAAGTGTGCTGTGTGACGGTACTTGGAAAAGAAATAATAACATGGGGCACAGAATACAATTGGGGGTAGAATTAGATGATTCTACCCACCTTACGGATCGCACACTCGACGCTTCAATCAGCCTGTGAGCACGGTGCAAGTCAGTCGAAACGTGTTAGGCAAATACAGGTAAATATCTCAATGTTACCTATCCGCGTATCGCGTTAATACCTGTTTAAATTAATTCAAAGTGCAACATCCCTGTATCTTTCAACTCATTTTTTTTTACAATATTCATAGTTAAATTTTAGCCTTTACTCAAACACCAATGGAACCATCAACTCACTACCACTTTAGTTTTTGGTCATGATACCTATTTCATTACTGGTTCAAACCATAACAGATATTCCGAGCAAAGTACATGGCCTTCAATGGTTCGGTTTTTATTGGTAGTCCAGTTGTACATCCTGGCTACAGGAGTTGCAGCAGGGGGAACAAGAGATGAAATGGACCCCTATTATCCCATTTCTCTAAATCATATGCAACCCTAATAAATGTATTATTTTTCCAGAAAATGGTGATGACGCCGAAAAAATGAAGCTGTACTCCGAAGACTACTCGTACAAAGACACGTCGAAACCAAATAAATTAGCTGCTCTCAAGCTGTTATGTAAGTACATAAGTGTAATTTATCTCGGACCATTCAGCACCAGCAGAAATAATAATTATGACTATTTTTTTTTAATTATCTTACATCAGTAAGGCTAGGTTGCACCATCTTACTTAAACTTTGACAAACGTCAAAAATCTGTCAAACTCCATACAAAAAGCACCGGTTATCGTTATAGTTACCGTCAACAGCAGGTGGTGCAACTCAGAATAAGTATTTTTGAAAAATAATCTAAACTTTAATTTTGTTTTAGGCAAATCACCTTCCTCTCGACGAGCCTTCATTGTGGTGTTTATATCTTTCTCGATGGAGGTAATCTTAATCATAATTATTTATTACATAGCACATAGGTGATAGTAATATAACAATATCTGTTTTAGTGTATGAATCTATTAAAGTTCAGGCAAACCAACGCAGCCTGCGTGCATGATGGCGTGTATTAATTTGTATAGCCTGACCAGGAACATAAAAACCCTGGCATAGAGGCGCGTCAATTGCATTTAATAGTGCAACACTGAGTACAGTCGTACCTGTGTTAAATTAATAGGCTAACTTTATGTATCAGGATTCAGGATTACGGGCTAATTTGATATTTTCATGAATTAACGAAAAAATATTATTTACCTATAATAATATTTTTTCGTTTTACCTGGTTTAAATAAATTAAATGAAAACATCAATCGAGCTAGTAGGATTTATTTTATTATTCATCAATAATCAAATTCAGAACTTGAATATTCAACTGCAATGTTTGCTCATGAACGCATCAAACTCGGTACTTCTTTCCCAATTCCATAAAATTCAACACTTAGAAAGTGACAAAAAATTTTAAAATAGGTGGTTGAAACAAACCACAACTAATTTTCATAGTGGACTGTACTATGCGATAAACATGTCAGTGAATTTGACAACCTTTGTCGGAAACATTATTCAATGAAAATATTGTCCGAACCCTTAGTATTTCTCTTCGACAAATACTTTAACACATTGTAAACCATTTTTCTTTCACGACTATTTGACAGCAATGACTGACATGCAAGGTGACATGACAATGAAGTTTTCAGTTACTGTTGCCATTAAAAGAAATTAGTACCATTAGTTTTCCGCAACATGGCGAGGGTTTTTATGTTCCTGGTCAGGCTATAGCAATGAGTTTTTGGCTGAAACGAGTTCATATAAACACATCTTACCTAGGTTATTGGTTGTGGCGATCTATGCACGCGCAGTGATGACGCGTTGGTTTGGCCGAAGCTTTACAGCATTGGTTCCCAAAGTGGGGGGCGTCCCCCCAGGGGAGGCGCAAAGACCTTTAAAGGGGGCGCGGACCATCTGTGTAGGTACTTAAGTATAAAAAACCTGCGACCGTTGAGAGAATGCATTCCAGACTGCTCGATACGACCAATAAATAGTCTTGCCTGGAGGAGGGGCGCGTAATTTTTTATATGGCTGAAAGGGGGCGCGTCTCAAATAAGTTTGAGAACCAATGCTTTAGAGAATAGTTCTTACAATCATCTTTATTTCAGATCTTAATGGGAGCTGCACCTGTAGCAGTGTACGCGAAGCAAGTGTTCATTGAAGCCGACCCCACTAGGGGGGACATGTGGTCCGTATTGTTTGCTGTGATGAGCCTCTTGGGGACGATGCTGAGTGGCGTGGTCTCGGACAGAGCAGGAAGACGGGTGAGTTACAGCATACATATTCATATCATCATCATCATCTCAGCCATAGGACGTCCACTGCTGAATATAGGCCTAGGTAAACGAACTAAAGTTGCTGACATAGCCCGACGGATTAGCAAGCTGAAGTGGCAATGGGCAGGGCACATAGTACGCAGAACTGACGGCCGATGGGGCAGCAAGGTTCTGGAGTGGAGGCCGCGTACCGAAAAACGCAGCGTGGGACGTCCACCCACAGGGTGGACCGACGACATCATAATGGTAGCAGGAAAGCGCTGGACGCAAGCCGCTTCCAACCGGGTAACATGGAAAGCATTGGGGGTGGCCTATAAATATTTTAAGGCTGAGCAATAGATGGGCAGGGAAAGGCCTCCTCTAGAAATTGTACGACCCTCCAAACATGCTGCCTGCGAATGTCTATGGGCGGAGGTATTCACCTATTATCAGGTGCTCCGTCAGCTAGTTTGCCACCTGTCCCATAAAAGTGGCCCACTGGCCCATTTATTGTCCTGAAGCAGTGGTAGTGTTAATACTGGGACGTGTAAAAGTGCTTTTTAAAAGCCTACTTGCATTAATAAATGAGTTTTATTAATAATGCTCATCTTTAAGTGTCTAACTAATCTCACAGGCTCTCCTGACTCAGATGCTGGGTAAGCCCATGATATTGTTAGTGTAGACCACATAAGCACCTATTGGTTCTATAGCATTATGTCAAACGCCTATTAAAGCAGCGTACAATATCTGGCTCTAGATAGATATTTCAATAGGTATCGAAGGGCTGAAAGAATAACCGATGGGAGGAGTAATGGATTGCAAGTAGTAATAAATTTCCGCCATTCATGATCAGGCGAGATCGACTTTTTGTGGCGTTCAGTAGTATAGGCTGCAATGATGATCATGATTTAACTAATGGGAAAAGTAATAAGAAGATAGGTGGAATCTAAAGTTAACCACTTTACGACAATGTAACGTTAAGCATAGATCTTCTCAAAACGCCTCCAACCAGTTCTTGGCCCAAATACTAGACGTAAACTTGCTCCTACTACAGAAAAAAAATACACTGTATCTTTCTTTCCAGCCCCTGCTAATAATAGCATCACTGGTGGTGTCTATATGCCTGCTAGCCCTGGGCGTACTCCTCCAAACGAAGGTCGCCCCAGCGTGGGTGGGTGTGCTGGTCCTCATGACATTCTGTTTCTGCTTCATGGCCGGCCCTGGGACCATTCCCTATGTGCTGATGTCGGAGATATTCTGTCCTGAGGTGAGTTAAAGACTGAAGTAGAAATAGATGGTACAATAAAACCTAAACAGGTCACATGGAATGCAGCTAAGTTTGTCTATAAGATGTACGTACAGACAATTGAATTACATAAATGATGATTCTGGATATGATGGATCTGACATACTCCAATTTAAATTCCTAAAACATATTGAAAAATATTTCTTTTCATATTGCAATGTCCACAAAATCCACAAAAGGTTAACTTAGCTACTGCAATTAACTTCGGTAAAAAGTGTGTAGGATAACAATTCTACCATTTTCAAGTTGCAAAGTCTACTCAAGTTTCATTTATTTTTCATTTTCATCATTATTAAATACTAGCTTTCCGCCCGTGGTTTCGCCCGCGTGGAATTTTTCGGTTTTTTATATAACCTATGACACTCGGCAATAATGTGACTTTCTATTGGTAAAATAATTTATAAAATCGGTTCAATAGATCCCGAGATTACCCCTTATAATTTAACAAAATATACAAACACACAAACTTTACCTTTTTATAATATTAGTATAGATAATATCTTAGGTTATTTTTACTTTACTAGATTTGAGGAAAAACCGGTAACACCACCCAACATCTATGAAAAGATCAGGGTTTAACAATTTCTTCGACAACCCAATATTCGTCCAATCTTCCCTTGCAGGTCCAAACGTTGGCGTCAATGCTGATCATCGAGTGGGTGTGGCTGCTTGCATTCTTCACCCTGGCCGTGTTCCACTGGCTCAACCGGCTCATCGGCATCCACGCAACCTTCTACATCTTCACCTTTAACAGCCTCTTCAACGTGGCTTTCAGTTACTATATGATTCCGGAGACCAAAGGCCTCTCTAACAAGGAAATACAAATCGCCCTTCTGAAGGGAAGGAGTAAATAAATGATCTAGTGTAGTGATTGAACCTTCAACAAAGTTAGCAATAGGTGGTTAAACTACTTAATAGTTGAATTAGACCTTAGCTTAGATGATCATAGATGCAGGCCGCCACCAACCGGTTTGTGGAAATCAAATCAGCAGTGGACGTCCTGTGGCTGAAATGATGATGATGATCGTAGATAGCAAGGTTCTGGAAAGGAAGCCACATACCGGAAAGCGCAGCGTAGGATGTCCAACAAGGTAGACCTATGACCTCATAAAGGTAGCAGGAAGGCGCTGGATGCACGCCGCTACCAAGCGGTCTCTATGGAAATCATTTGATGAGGCCTATGTTATGTCTTATGGCTGAAATGATGATGATGATCATTATATAATTTGTGTCATCACTGGTTTAAATCCAGAATTTCTGCTCCAGTAATAATAAGAGAGTAAGACTTGTTGGTTCTAGATTCAATTCTCTGGAACTCGTTTTAGTTATGTCCACTTAGGCACTTTGTATTACTCCTGTCTAATACTATGTGTAGATACTTGAATCAACCAGATTCCATGGAATGGTGTGCTGTCGCCGATCCTATTGAACCATGGCTCATCTCACCATGGTGGATGCCTATGTAGGTTCATTACCTGATAATAGTAACCTCTGTTAACACAGACCTTAAGATTGAAAAAGAAAAAGACTGTCTTGAGAAAAAACCCAAAGGACGGCCTCTAGTCCCGGTGGCCCCGCTATCCGGATCTATCTACAATTTGGATCACGATGTAGGGGGAAAAGAGTCCAAAGCGCAAGATTGAAAAAGAAGAAGACTATCTTGAGGAAAAAACTTAAAGCACGGCATCTAGTCCCGGTGGCCCCGCCATCCCGAGCTACGATAGGGATCATGATATAGGGAAAGATATAGCCAAAGCCAATAGCCAATGGATCACAATAAAGGAGGACAGGGGCCAAAACACTGCCTCTAATCCCCGATAGCCCCGCCATCTCGAGCTACGATAGGGATCATGATATAGGGAGGTCAGGGGGGCCAAAGCACGGCCTCTAGTCCCTGGTGGCCCCCTATCCCGATCTACGATGGATCACGATAAAGTGGGCAGGAGGACTAAAGCACGGCCTCTAGTTCCCAATGACCCCAGTATCCCGATCTACGATAGGGCTCACAATATAGGGGGGCAGGGGCCAAAGCAAGGCTCTGGTCCTGGTGGCCCCCCTATCCTGAGCTACGATAGGGATCACGATATAGAGGGTCAGGGGGGCCAAAGCACGGCCTCTAGTTCCCAACGACCCCACTATCCCGATCTACGATAGGGCTCACGATATAGGGGGGCAGGGGCCAAAGCAAGGCATCTAGTCCCGGTGGCCCCGCTATCCAGAACTACGATATCGATCACGATATAAGGGGCAGGGGCCAAAGCACGGCCTCTAGCCCCTGTTAGCCCCGCTATCCCGATCTACGATAGGGATTATAATGACGGGGGCAGGGCCAAAGCGCGGCCTCTAGACCCCGGTGGCCCCATTATTCCGATCTACGATATGGGTCACGATATAGGGGGCAGGGGTCAAAGCACGGCCTTTAGTCCCGAGTAGCCCCCTATCCCGATCTACTATAGGGATCACGAGATAGGGGACAAAGACCAACACGGTCTCTGTTCCAGATGGCCGCGCTATCCAGAACTACGATATGGATCACGATATAGAGGGTCAGGGGGGCCAAAGCACGGCCTCTAGCCCCTGTTAGCCCCACTATCCCGATCTACGATAGGGATCACGATATAGAGGGTCAGGGGGGCCAAAGCACGGCCTCTAGCCCCCGGTGGCCCCCTATCCCGATCTAGGATGGATCACGATATAGAGGGGCAGGGACTAAAGCACGGCCTCTAGTTCCCAACGACCCCACTATCCCGATCTACGATAGGGCTCACGCACAATATAGGGGGGCAGGGGCCAAAGCAAGGCCTCTGGTCCTGGTGGCCCCGCAATCCCGAGCTACGATAGGGATCATGATATAGTGGGCAGAGGGACCAAAGCCTGGCAGATGCTTGGCCAACCCCTTGGGCAAACGTTTGGCCCTGGCAACATACAACACGTGATTTGGCGGACGGCAACATAAGTAGAACATGCGCATATTGCGGAACGACGAGAAACTCACTGGACTCTCGTGAAAATAGAAGAGGTGGTGGGATATTGTAAATAGATTATTGTAATTAGTTTGACTATGATTGTTTTGTTGTATTTTTTTAATAAAAAGGTGTTGATTTATTAGAAGTTGATAAAACTCGCTGAACTAGAGTAAGAATTGAGCAGGTTTCGGTAAGATTATTATTATTATAGTTTTAGGTAGTAAAATGTAAATAGGTGATTGTAATGATTAGACTAGGATTTTAATAATAATATACTATATTTTGTAATATGTTCGTTTATTAAGTAAAGTCCGGTCGCCGAGCACGTATAATTTCCTCCAATGACCCCAAGCTACCCATTCTTATCGCTCGTGAGTAAATATTGCTGTTGCGACTGTGCTACGGGCGGCCGCAGTGGGTGTGCGAGCGCGATAGCGATATAATTACGCGCGAGTGATAAGGATGGGTAGCTTGGGGTCATTGGACGAAATTCTACGTACTCGGCGACCGGACTTTAGTTGAAAAAAGTCGCTGAACTAGAGTAAGAATTGAGCTGGTTTTGGAAGGATATTGTATGTATGATTAGGTTTAGGTAGTATTATGTAAATAGGTTATTGTAATGATTAGAATATACTGTATTTTGTAATATTATGTTGATTTATTAGTAGTTGAAAAACCTCGCGGAACTAGAGAAAGAATTGAGCAGGTTTCGGTAAGATTTATTGTAATATTATGTAAGATTAAGTTTAGGTAGGAAAATGTAAATAGGAGTTAATAATAATAGACTAAGATTTTAAATAGTTACCGTATTTTGTAATAAAGTGTCGATTTCTTGTCATTATACTATGCCTACTTGTTTTAATTATAAAATATTTAATTTATGTGAACGTCATAGCGACAAGTTTGTATTTTTTGTTTTTTGACACAAATAAATTTATTGAAATCAATTGACTGGCAGCTCTATATACCTGCTGAGGCAGGTATGAGGTTATGAGTAACTAGCGGCCGCCCGCGACTTCGTACGCGTGGACCCCGTTTCACACCGTTTTAAGTTAACCGATATTACACTGTGATTCAAATAAATAAAATTTCTTTAATTAATATTAAAATTTCAAAATCATTTATTTTTTTTTATTTAATGTTATTTATTTACGAACGTCTTTGAACGGCGCTTGATAGATGGCGTTGCACGGCTTCGTTTATTTATTGAAAATTGGTTTATCACATATCGTCATAAATTATACTGTAAAGTTTCGTCGAAATCTGTTCAGTAATTTTTGCATGAAAGAGTAACAAACATGTCGACATCCAGACATCCTGACATCCATACAAACTTTCGCTTTTATATTATTAGTAGGATTTAAGATCATGATTAGCCACTTAGCGTATAATATTATTGTATTTTTAATAAAGAACATCCATATTTGGATCATGACAATAGTATAAAAAATACTAGCAGTAATAATATGATATCTTTTACCGTTTTGCTTTACCTGATTTGCCCTCTGTACATGATAGAATTAAAAACTTCATAAATGGAGATCGCAAGGTAGTAAGCGCAAGGGTAGCAATAAAACACATAGTGACTTAAATAGTGTCTTATATCAAAAAAATATTTACAATCTAGCCGTAGATTAAAACAAAAAGGGAAAACACAATACATTATCGCAAGAACGTCTTGCAACTATGCTACATAAATAAGGTGGTGCAATGCATACGATTTTGCTTCGGCGAATTTTCGATGCACTAAACTTTGAGCTCTTAGAATAGAATAAACTTTATTGATCACAGTAAGCACAAATTATAAACAATAATGTAATGTGTGACGATCGGGAGACACAATAAAACAGTTAGATGCGCGCACTGTAGGTTTATTCGTAAGAATGAAGATTATCTTAAGCTTATATACTAGTGGTTTGCCTAATATGGGGAAAGGATGCGTACACACAAAACAAATTAATATAGTAAACTAGCTGACCCGGCGAACTTTGTTCCGCCTTAATAGCAATAAATAAGCAGACTTTTTTTTAATTTCGAACGGGATAAAAAGTATCCTATGTCCTTTTCCTGCTCTAAACTACCTCCCTGACAATTTTCAGCTAAATCGGTTCAGCCGTTCTTGAGTTATAAGTAGTGTAACTAACACGACTATAGATAGTAGGCCACTGCTTCAATAGGCTCTCCCGCTCAGTATTTATCATGACATGCTCGTAAATGTCAAGCATGAGCGAAGAGCAATCTCTTCGCTCTGTCTCGCTCATGAGATCTACCTAGTGCAGCAGGGCCTAATTTTGAGTATTGCAATGTAAGATCGTATCTTCCCTTATTGTTTTAATCTATTTGTAGCCTTTTAGATTCCATCCCTCTACTTTCCTTTTCTAAGCACGTCTTGTATCTCTTTGGTCGATAGTCCCTTAGTTTCTGGCACGATGATGTAACTCAGCACAGCATTGATAATGCTGCTAATCGCGAAGATATAGAATGTGCCGTGGATGCCGATGAGGTTGTTCAGCCATGAGAATACTACCAGGATGAGGAAGTTGAGGAACCAGACCCATTCCACGATGATCATGGACGCGCACGCTTGAACCTAGAATTAATAAAGCACGTGTCTACACAAAACAATGTAAATTCAAACCTTCTGTAACATCACTAAAAAATTGAGATGTGCTATCAGTACGGCTACCACGAAAAACTTTCGAGTTCGAATCGTTTGCGTATTCGAATCGCCATCAAAAGATTTAATACGAAAACTACAACAGCGCCCTTGTGAACGTGTCGTAAAGTGAACTTAGTATGAGAAATGGTTGCACGAAACTTATTTTGAGAATCAAAATTGTCACTTTATCGTTTAATTCGAAGGTTGAGTATCGAATTTTGTCGAATAAGAATAAGAATTAAATGATCAAACGAACTTACCAAGTGAAGTTCGATCTAAATTATCCTGTTTTCGCCGAAGAGATTTATTTTACCATGTAGTAGTACCCCTGTACGACAAGCCAATCCGCACACAATATTCAGCGCAGTAGTAGTAAAAAACAAAAGAGCGGGCAACCCCACCCCTACCACGCTGTGGGCTCGGTGTCCGAGCGGTCTCATTATATTTAGAGAAGAGATGACATTGACGTTTACCTCCAGGGAAGAAGATATAGAAATCTTCGGGTTGGGAGGGACCTTAAATCTCTTCGGCGAAAACAGGATAATTTAGATCGAACTTCACTTGGTAAGTTCGTTTGATCATTTCCATTGACACGCATGACACTCCCGGCGGGAACCACAATCGTCACGGCTCCAACAACACCCAGCGCCCAGCAACAAACATCATCGACATCGGACTCCTACAATCGCCCGGCACCCAGCATAACTCGCCATTTTTCCATTAAGTAGTTCAGCTTCATTTTCAAAACCTTGAGCACCATCATCGCCCGGCTGCTATCAAAATGTCTCCTCCAACGCACTTGATTTACTTTATCGTAGTATTTATTAATTGTCCGACTTTACTTATTCCATTTTTCACACGAAACTACACGAAATTCACATTATAATTATGTGCACAGCACTGCCCTAAGGCAGCACTGGCAGGGTCGCCATGTAATGTGGGGACCAAGGAGATGGAATAAAAGATGTTAATTCGTCGACGATCGGTTTAATACTACTTTAAAATGGCTTACAGCTAACTTATAAGTATAACTATGCCTAAGGAGAGGTGTGTCATACACTACAATAGATTAAACTAGACCTATTTTTATCGACAAAAAAACGGTCAAAAATTTTTTGAGATTTTTTTTTTTTATAGAATTTTTTTTCTTTCAATTACTTATTGTAAAGAAAACGTAATAACTTTTAAACTAAGCGGTATATCCTGATAAAATAAAAATAGTAATAATGCTAAATAACAGGCGATACTAAAAAAAATACATAAAATATACAAAAAAGGCCAACAAATAATAAAAAATGATACTTTTTGGAAAAAATCTGCTTTTAAATTCGTGTTTTTTTGGTTATTTGATAAAATTCTCCAAAAAATGCCCCTATAATCGGTGGTTTTTATTACTTTTTATGATTCTCTATCGTATTACCTTCGTAAAACCAAAAATCGCATGTCTCTATCCCTATCTCAACGTTTGCAATGATCGCTTGAACAGTGTCCAAAGTGCACAGAAGTTGGTGGCAAATCATGTGTGTCATAGAAGAAGCAAGCACATTGACGTAAAATATCATTTTGTTAAGGATGTTATTAATGACAAAATTGTAACTTTAAAATATTTGCCCACAAACTGCTATGCCTGCTGATGTTATGACTAAATCTCTAAGTCCTATAAAGCATTATAAATGTATAGAAGGATTGGGTCTTGGAAAAATTTAAGGTTAAAAATTAAAACAAGTTTGTAAAGTTATTAGTTTATTTGCTGTAGTGGGGGTGTTAAATTATGGCAACCCAGTAACATCAAATAAACTATATAATGTTGGTACTTCTGCTAATCCGCTAATGTTGGCTCTATGTGTTTTTCATAAGTAATAAATCTCTTGCTCGTTGTCTGTTCAACCGAACGCTGTGTTTTATTAGTATCGGCCTCTGGTCGATCGTCTGGGTACAGCGAGGAAAGTAATGCGCTCATGGTGTCGCCCGAAGCCTCAGTGTAGCCGTCTAGAAGTTTCATACCGTTGATGATGTTCGGCGGCGGACGGAACCGTCCGCTCGCTTCACGGTAGGCTCGGCCCCAGGGGTCGTCGTTGCCAGACTCAGCGATGTTGCGGTAAAAATCCAGCTCTACCTTCTTCATGGCTTGCTTGTAGACAATCCGTTGCTCACGTAGAGCAGTGTGAAGTAGCTCTTCTTGGATTCCTCCCGCACGGCGCGATCGCTGCCAGTCCCGACGAGATCGGTTGACTTGACGGCGTAACTGATCTAGCTCCGGAGACCACCACTCATATTTACCGTCCCTCTTGCGTGCGCACTGCCCGAGGACCTCCCGAGCAGTGCGCAGCAATAAGTCCGTGAAGCTCTCGCAGTACTGTGTGGCTGAAAGGCGCGTGCTTAAACCACCCACTCTAGCNAATTGATCTAAAAGTAATTTTTCTTCATACTCGCCTTCGTGAGTTGCAAGAACTATACTCAACATCAAAATAAACCGCACCATCCGTGACGCGAACTTTAACGATTTTCTTCTGACACAATCATGGTGCCCCAACAATATTGGTGTTATTTGAAAGCCCAATAAATATCCTTAAAGAAAAACATATTTAATTTTTTAATAAATGATTTACATATACCATAAATGTGACTTGAAAAAATACCTCACTTTGGGCCCACCTATGGGATCAATTAGACCAATTTTTATGGTTATAAAACCAAATAATGATCTCACGTGTCCTCTATAACAGATAGATAGCGATTAATCTCAACTTAACAGTTTTATAGCCATAAAAGTTGGCTCTAGCGTAACTAAGTACCTATTTTTTGAAGAAGTGACTCTGGATCCTTCTTAAGACAAATTTTTGGGATAGAAACCTTTCCTTTAATGAAATGAAGGTTAAAACTAGGCTTTTAAATGGTGCTAATATGGATGGGAAGTGGGGATGCATACGTTTGAAAATGCTTGTCGCGGGAGGTGCGATTTATTTGATGTCGAGGTATAATAAGTCAATGCTTAGTTATTAAATTTTTAGCGTTTGGAGTCGCATCTCAAACTAATTTGAAAATTATAAATAACTTGAAAAAATCGAACTGCCTAAGGCGGGAATTGAACCCACGACCTTCCGCTTGCCGGGCGACTGCTCTTCCAACTGAGCTACTTAGACACTGGATGAACCCGTCGAGTTTTCAAGTTATTTATAATTTTCAAAGTCAATGCTTTGTTGTCTTGGGTGTTTTAACCATCATGTCTATTCACAATTTTGGTATTTTCAGGAATGTAAACATTATCACCAATATCTGAGTTAACAACCTCGCTGTTGGCCCTAGCAACAACATTATTTTTAATTCGACTATCAGCAATATTCACGTTATTCCCAATCGTGCCATCGTTGCCAATAGTAGACCTTGTGATTATCGAGTTATTTTCAATTTTACAACGGATTCCAATGTCTGAACTATTAATCTCATCGTTGTTGCCAACACGACAGCCGTTTTTGATACGCGAATCTTTGATGACGTCGTTATTACCAATGTAAGAACCGTCCTCAATATGCGAATTTGTTATAACCACGTTGTTCCCAATGGTACAATCATTGCCAATAACTGTGTTTGTGTTAATCACGTTGTCGTTACCGATATTACAATTGTTCCCTATTTGGGTCTCCGGGCTTATGACATTGTTTGCTCCAATGTGTGTACCAGACCTAGCGCCTTCGATTAGGCGGCATGATCTGCAATAATTGAAAATGTTCAATGTTATTTAATTATTTTTACATGTATTCATTTAGTAATAATAAAGTGGGGCAGCTAGGATCTGGGGTGGAGGCCACGTACCACCCACAAGATGGACCGACGACCTCATAAAGGTAGGAAGGCGCTGGATGCATCGCCACCAACCGGTCATTGTGGAGAGGCCTACGTTCAGCAGTGGACGCCCTATGGCTGAAATGATGATGATGAAAGAAAGTTACTTTACTCGTAACACCCCAGGATGTTGGGCTTCGAAGATAAATTCACAAAAAGTAACATCTCATTAACTATGGCAAGGGGCAGCTGCCCCTAGGGCCCCCTGAAAATTTACCCTAGAACCTAGATGTATTTCGCACCAGTTGCAGGTCTTCATCAACCGCTGCCTTCGCCGAATTCTCAGCATATACTGGCCCGAGAAAATCTCCAACGTCGAGCTATTGGTTCGCTGCCACAAAATTCCGATCGACCAGCAGATCAAGCGCCGCAAGTGGAACTGGATTGGCCACACTCTCCGAAGGGACCCCGATCACATCCCTGAGCAGGCTCTGGATTGGAACCCCCAAGGAAAACGCAAACGTGGTCTCCCCAGGCAAACTTGGCGGCGCACTGTAGCAGACGAGGCGAAGAAAATCGGCAAGACCTGGAGTGAGATCAAGCGCGAAGCTCAAGACCGAACAAGATGGAGGACTGTTGTGGACGTCCTCTGCCCCATCTAGGGGACATGATCTTAAGTCAAGTAAGTCTAGATGTAGATAATGCCCAGGGGTTCATCATCATCATCATGCACCGCCACATCAAATTTTCTGTTTGGCCCAATGGTCGACTGGGAGAGAATGCATTAAGGCATTAAGTTCGCCTTTTGTACGGCAATTCTTTTTTGTGTGCAATAAGCCTCCAAGCCACCGACTTTTAGATCCGATAGTTGGGTTTGGTATCGGCCGTTATTTCATAAAATAATAATCGGGCCCAACTATCGGACAACTAAAAGTTGGTGGTCTTTTTTATCTTTTAATTAATAATCATCATTCTTTCAGCTTTCATTCTTTCAATGCTGAACATAGGACCCAGGGGTTAGCTTAGTGTAAAAATGGTGTCCATAGCTTGGTAGTACGATGGATATGACTTTTGATAGCTTCAAACATGAATTCGTATAATAAGAAAAAAAAAAGAGCAACGGATCCGAAATACTTACGTAAACACAATCAAAAATATATACGGCCAAAGAGCCGCTCGTGGGATGCTGGAAACGGGAGATGCTTTCCTGATAGAGAGGGGGGTCAGACAAGGTGGCCCACTCTGACCCAAGCTGTTTACGGCAGTACTAGAACAAAAACAATAATTTAAAAAATTAATAGTTAAAAAGAACTAAAAAACACGCTTTTAATTGCTACACTTAAAGTCCAGACTCGATCATCAGGACCCTGGACATCATCCAGCACTAAAGTGCTCGAAAAGATAAATCCAAAAAACCCAAACTCGACGCGATTCCACCGTTTCGTTTAGGAGTTCCTATGGCCACCTTCCAGTCCCATCATCAGACCAGCTCGATGGCACCATAATATTGTATTGTCATTTAATCTACATAAAATTGCCAAGTTTCATGATGATACAAGAATTAGAAGTGCGTGTAATTCAGATTCTTAGATATCCATTACATCCCATCCCAACTAATATTATAAATGCGAAAGTAACTCTGTCTGTCTGTCTGTCTGTCTGTCTGTCTGTCTGTCTGTTACGCTTTCCCGCTTAAACCTCGCAACCGATTTTGATGAAATTTGGCATAGAGATAGTTTGAGTCCCGGGAAAGAACATAGGATAGTTTTTATCCCGGTTTTTGAAACAGGGACGCGCGCGATAAAGTTTTTCTGTGACAGACAAAATTCCACGCGGGCGAAGCCGCGGGCGGAAAGCTAGTAGTTTATAATAAAACCGCGTTAAAAATAATTCGGCCGGCCATTATAATATTATAATTATATTGTGAAAGTTTTTATGGATGACTGTTTGTTACTCTTTCACGCAAAAACTACTGAACGGATTTTGATGAAACTTTACAGTATTATAAATACACATCAGCCCCCCTAGACAAGTTGCACTTTTTGATCGAATCCATCATAACTTCATACAAAAAAGGCCATCAACCATTTCTCGACTGGTTTGCGATTATAATGTGCACTTTGTCTACTAGATAGACCCACAATATCACGCGGGCGAAGCCGTGGGCAAAAGCTAGTTCACACCAGGGATGTTATGGATATCCGTAACCGTAACCGAAACTTTCGGATATCTGAAATAAAAAAATATCCGAAACCGTAACCGTAACCGATTTAATACCGATTTCGGATAGTTTCGGATGTAGGCATAGGCAGTTTGAATTGTTTTTGTATAGCATTATATGTAAAGGCATAACAGCCTGATTTACCAATTCATTATAATGCCATCTAGTACCTATCTATTTTTTTTATTCACCGTGTTGGACAACTATTGCAAATTGCATTCTAAAGCACAGATATCCGTAACCGACACCGAAACTTTCGGATATCCGAAATAAAAAAATATCCGTAACCGTAACCGAAACCGGTATAATATTAATCCTATATCCGCAACCGTATCCATAACCGAAACTACATATCCATAACATCCATAGTTCACACCATAATCACAAGTTTTTTCGTAATAACCACACATTTTAAAAAGAAAATAAATCAACTCTACCTAAATGAAGACATTTTAAATTCTAAAAAACAATTTCACTTTAATGTTTCTGAGGTAAGGCATCAACTGATTAATGCATGCCAAAACAAGTGATCGTGCCGTATATATGTATAAAAAAACCCGGTCAAGTGCGTGTCGTGCCACGCGAAGAGTTCCGTAGTTCTTTATTTTATTTTTATTTTACAAGGAAAACAATTTTTAGTTTTCACATTTAGAGCCTGAGTAATGCTTGTTTATCAATAAACAAAAATAGAAAAGAAGTTTACCTATAGTTAGGACTATATTATCTATGATACTGATATTATAAATGAGAAAGTAACTCTGTCTGTCTGTCTTGCTTTCACGCCTAAACCACTGAACCGATTTTGATGGAATTTGGCATAGAGATAGTTTGAGTCCCGGGAAAAGACATAGGATAGTTTTTTTCCAAATTCCACGCAGGCGAAGCCGCGGGCGGAAAGCTAGTGTTTTATAAATCGCACCTCCAGCGACAATAACTTTAAAGATTTTCTTCTGACACAATCATGGTGCCAGCCACCAATGTTGGTGTTATTTGAAAGCCCAATAAACTTAAAGAAAAACATATATAATTTTATTTTTCAAACAATTTTATAACCGGTGCCATAAATGTGACTTGTAAAAGCCTCACTTGGGGCTACGGAAGGACTGCGGAACCCTAAAAAACTTTGTATACATCTGTATACAAATCGCCACATTAATGACAAACAGCTGTCTATCTCTTTTTAACTAACGTATGAAAAAGGGAATTGACAATGTTTGCTCAGTGCCCAATTTAGCAACATTTTGATGTGACTCATTACTTATCTTGTTATTCAAGCTTGAGGTGCATCGAGCGTTTATTTCCATGCAAAAACAACTATTAATAAATGCGGGGCATACAAACTAAAGGTTAGCGCTTAACTCTGTCGTTGACTGAGGTATGGGAGCGACTAGAAAGAGAAGAATTTTAATTTTTATTTTATTTTATTAGAAATGCGAAAGTAACTCTGTCTGTCTGTCTCGCTTTCACGCCTAAACCACTGAACCGATTTTGTTGTTTGGCATAGAGATCCCGTTAAAGGACATAGGATAGTTTTTATCCCGGTTTTTGAAACAGGGACGCGCGCGATAAAGTTTTTCTGTGACAGACAAAATTCCACGCGGGCGAAGCCACGGGCGGAAAGCTAGTTATTATAAATATATCAATATCACCCCTTCCGCGTTGCTCCCATACCTAAAGGCAATGAAGTAAACCCACACCCCCTTACCACGGTAATACTATCCATACCCTTACTAATAAAAGTGACACCCGGGATGAACACTGGATTAAAATGACATTTCCATACTAAATGACAACTTAAACCAGAGTTCAACTAGGGGACCTACGTATAGGGGACATAGTTATGCACTGACCCAGTTGAGCTTGATGGTCAAGCTTGACGGTCCTCCATGGGGTACGATGGTGAGGGACCTCCTCGTGGTGCACCCTGGGCAACGTCCGCGTGGTCTGTTCACGCGGGGGCTAACCTCTCACCTGCGCAGCAGGCTTGTCGGGAAACCCGGGGCCGGGGGCCGTCGAGGCATTTGCCCAGGCCACGATGCAGGGGACATCTTTAAAAACCCCCACAGGTGGGGGCTGGCGGGACGTCTGCCCGGGCCCATTCTTTGGAGGGCCGCTCTCGGTACTTCTCTGATCAGCAGAGCTGACTGAGCAGCGGCATGGAGACCCGCTACGATGGTCCTGTTGTACCAGGGTCACGAGTAAAAACAACTGGAGGAGGGGATTGGGGGTTCCCTCGAAGCCGGAGTGGCTCGCTCGTACGAGCTTCTAGCCTGAGGAGGAGCTGCGGACGAATGTCCAACTACTTAGGTCTCGCGGTTCCGTTCTTTGGGCTCTGGTGGACACCGTCGGGTTTTAGTGGGTAGGTAGAGTCCCACATAGGGTTGCCAGGTATCTTTAGCCGGACATGTTAGGCTGTTTACGGTCTTGTCCGGCCTGTCCGGCTTTTGTTAGGCTTTTTATTGGCTGTCGCGCCAGGCAAAAGTCGAGCCACAGAATAATATGAAGCGCACGTATCAGGATTGCCCTCCCCCCGTCACACATGTCCGGCTTTTTAGGGTAAATGAAGCACAGAGTCCGGCTTTTGTGTTTTTGGACCAGGCAACCCACATAACCCATGTCCTCACTAGTTTGGTTTAATTCTCTAAGTAACTATAGACAAGGTAAGTCTCGAATTTTTCCAATGTTTTTTTTGTTGTTGAGCAATTCAATGAGTCTTGTTTACATTAAATACGTGATGCGTTTTTGTTTAGGCTAGCTGTTATCTGTGGTAGGGTAGCCAGGCTTTAGTCGGACATAAATAAATAAAAATAAACATTATTTATTTTCAGACAAATACAGTCCAATATTTTTTTAATAACAATTTATTTTGAACTTAAAAACTAGCAAGCTAACATAGCAAGCGCGCCGCGCGCGCGCCGCCAACTGTTCAAAATGTATCTTAAAATGTTTGAGACCTGTGTTTTCTACTTCTACCAATAGATAATTTTATTAGCTGTCGCATGATATTAGCGTGGGCCACGCTATCACTTGTTTTTGAAGGAAGAGGTGAATATGTACGTACTAAAAATTAAAACTTAAATCCTTGTAATTTTGTGAGAAATGGGTCAAACCCCAGATTTGAAGTATTTTTATCGATAAAATTGTTCATAGATCACGCCTTTCAAGTTTGATCACTACATGCCCGGACACACTAATACTTTTATAAAGCCACTAGCGACCCGCCCCGGCTTCGCACGGGTGCTGAGTAGGTACACATGTACTTATATAGGGTGTCCCAGAATGGGTAAATCAAACTGCAAGGGGAGGTAGCTCTACTAATGTACCTACTATCCCTAAAAAATATGAAAATATTTTTTGTGTTCGGATTTTTTTTTTATTAAAGTGCTCCAAACTCGAAATCTAGTCATTATTTTCAAAAGTTTATTTACAGATAAACGAAGCGATCATGTTAGTGAGAAAAAAGTACAAATAAACTCCAAACGCAGCAATTATAGCCAGATACTTAGGCAAAGCTGATTTATTTTCACTTTTTCAATTTTTTTTTGTTTCCTTATGCGCTTTATTTTTTTTTTCATATTTTTTAGGGATAGTACATTAGTAGAGCTACCTCCCATAGCAGTTTAATGCACCCATTCTGGGACACCCTGTATAAACCTTCCTCTTGAATCACTCTATCTATTGAATAAAACCGCATCAAAATCCATTGCTTAGTTTTAAAGATCTAAGCATACATAGTGACAGACAGCGATGATAAAAAGGTAAGTCCGACTTTTACCTTGGACATGGCCACCCTAGTTGTGTTGTTGAAATATCAAGGCACAGTATTGACCCCGCCAAACGAGTCAGGCGAAACGCAAATGTACTAGGGTGAAAGTGGTTGACTGGCAGAGAATGCCACCCGGCATTAAGTTCGCCACTGCACATCATCACTTTAATGTGCAAAAGTTTAATAATTATATTAAAGCTAAATACACTGGTCATCACAAAAATCAACCCTCCCGCGACAAGCACTTTCAAACGTATGCATCCCCACTTCCCACACCAATATTGGCACCATTTAAAAGCCTAGGTAGTTCTAAGTTTCATTTCATTAAAGGAAAGGTTTTTACCCCAAAAATGTGTCTGTAGAAGAATCCAGAGTCACTTCTTAAAAAAATAGGTCGTTACGCTTGAGCCAACTTTTATAGTTATACAACTGTAAAATCCATGTTTAGGATTTCAAATAAGAGTCCTTTTTTACATAAGGATTAGTTTAATCTTCATTTATGTGCTGCGTTTTACATTGGTAAAATGTAGAAAAATAAGTTGCGATTAATCGCTATCCATCTGTTAAAGAGGACACGTGAGATCATTATTTGGTTTTATAACCATAAAAATTGGTCTAATTGATTTGACCCAGAGGTGAGCCCAAAGTGAGGTCTTTTTTCAAGTCACATTTATGGTACGTAAATAATTTATTAAGAAATTAAATGTGTTTTTCTTTAAATGGATATTTATTGGGCTTTCAAATAACACCAATATTGTTGGGGCACCATGATTGTGTCAGAAGAAAATCTTTAAAGTTCGCTTCGCGGAAGGTGCGATTTATTTGATGTCGAGTATAGTTGAACGATGGTAGCGCCCCCCTGTCATTGAGTTTGGTGGGACAGTTCAGCGTGGGTCATCTATGTATATCAATACTGGGTTGTTAGTTTTTGATTTTTGCCACTTGAGGTTTCAAAATCGTTGGACTTTATTTAGGTACGTAGACGCAGAAATTCAGAATAAAGAAAAATACTTTTTATAATATCAAATAGGTTTATTTACATTTTTACATCTAAAATATACCTAATCTTAAACTAGCCGGTAAAATCCGTTTGTTCCCGTTGAGTCACACCATTTTTTAGTAACTCTGTGACTCAATGCCACATGTTTGTTTCATGAAATGCCGAAGGCAAATTGGCTACTCGTTTAATTGATAAAACTATTGGTGACCATCAAAAAACACATGTTGGAAAAATTAGACTTTATTTTAGAAATCAGGTATCTACTCGAATAGAAAAAACCTAAAATACGTGATACTCCTAAACAAAATAAAATTTAATAAATCAGATTTTTGTGACAATTAAAATAATTAAAATGATGATATCAATTTTCTGACTTTACCATACCATTTATATGCATAATGTTAACATGGGCTAGAGTCGACTTATTAACCCATTTACCTAACACCGTGTTTAAACAATGATTTTACACAAGAATGTGTTACTTAACGGGAACACATTGTTTTGTTGAGTAACACTGTTATTCAAAGGGAAAATGGATGGGTAACAGTGTTACACAAAATGGTGTGACTCAACGGGAACAAACGGTAAAATCATGTAATAATACTTAAGATAAAAATAAATTACTTAAAACTATAGAGATCAAAATATTATTTTTCACTAGCTGACCCGGCGAAATTCGTACCGCCTATGTTCACCACAAATAATGTAGGATTCTAATACTGGAAGAATTTTTCAAATCGGTCCAGTTTCGGAGTCCATTCAATACAAACAAACAATCAAATATTTCCTCTTTAATAACTTTAATACTATAGTATGGTCCGTGAGCACGTAGAATTTTGTCCAATGACCCCAAGCTACCCATCCTTATTGCTCGCGCGTAATTATGTTGCTATCGCGCTCGAACCCTCACTGCGGGTGCGCGAGCGATAAGGATGGGTAGCTTGGGGGATTTGGTTCCAACGAGACACAATTTCAACGGGACACATTTTTAATCAGACACATTCCCACGTGGACACATCAATTATTGTATCATCAGTTAAATGTTTTAATGAAAAAAATAAAATAAAATGTGTTAATTGTCATGGGCATGGGTATGTATTCGTCTGCCGTTTGGTGTAGTGGTTCAAAACGGACTACTATGCCGAGAGGTCCCGGGTTCGATTCTCGGCCGGGCAGAAATTGAAATGATGCATTTTAATTTCTGTGACCGGTCTGGGTGTTAGACTATCTATACTTATAATAAATCTGTAGAGAGAGGTAGAGAGGTCAATTCTGTACATGAAATATGTTTTCAAAATAACTATCAGGGGGTGATTAGTGAATGCCAAAAATGCAATCAGTAACATTTTTGTCTGTCTGTATGTTCCTTATAGAAACAAAAATTACTCGAAGGATTTTAACAAAACTTGGTACAATTATTTTTAATACTCCTGGGCAGGTTATAGTATCCTTAGGAGTATGCCACAGGAACGGGAATTAGCGGGAAAATCCTTTTAGAAAATCCTTAGAGAACTTAAAGCTTAGACAACAGGATATTGCAAAATTAGAGTTAGCGGGAAAAAACATTTGTATGAAAAAATCTAAACCGCGTAAGATAGATGAAGGGGGTAATAAAACGGGATCCACGCGTACGAAGTCGCGGGCGGCCGCTAGTCTTTCCATATCTATGTATGTGCGGATACGTCACGAAATCTGAATTTTAGCTGACCTCCTAACCCCTCATAAAAGCCAAGGTAAATTTTATTGATTGGTCTATATTATGTTAACGTTATTTTATTGATTTAAGGAAAGTACGCGAATATGCTTATTTCTGTTTAATTTTGTTTTTAATTGTAATATAGTTATTTTATTTCATTTTCACTTTCATTTATTCGACTGACAGTATTGTGTCAGTTTGCAACTGTGTCCACGTGGGAATGTGTCTGATTGAAAATGTGTCCCGTTGAAATTGTGTCCCGTTGGAACTAAATCGTAAACTTTGTAAGTAGGAACTTATAAATAAATAATTAATTGTGAATAAGGTGATTTCATTTCATACTTAATTTATTAATTTGTAAAAATAGGGTACAATGTTAAAATTAATTAAAACCCTAATAATTATTACGTATTTTTGACGGTCCTAAGCCCGTAAAGTAGAAAGGAAAATCTGAAATCAACTGAAGAGTATTTTAAAATAATTATTATGACTGGATAAAAAGGCTGGTACCCAGAGCCATAAAACAACAGATTATTAAGAACTAGGCCACGCCCACTAGGTTTATTCCACTTGCACCTGTAGAACGTATGGGACAAAATGGGTTTATTCCAATTTGTACTGAAAAACCAAATTTACTAAAATCTTAGTGTACTTTCTTTATGGGGGTCTCTTGTTTATCTTAAATAATAGGTATTGTTCCCTACTTTTATCTCTGTGAATATGGCAAGAATGCAAAGTAACACGGTGTATAGCCTAAAGCCTTCCTCTATAAATTGGCTATCCAACACAAAAATATTTTTTCAAATCGGACCAGCAGTAGTTCATGAGATTAGCGCGTTCAAAACAAACTTAAAATATTTGTATAGACAACTGTTTTCACTACTGTACCTCTAGCATGAACAACTTTCGTCTTCGAATTGTTTGCGTATTCGACAAAATTCGTTACTCAACCTTCGAATTAAACGATAACGTGACAATTTTGATTCTCAAAATAAGTTTGGTGCAACCATTTCTGATACTAAGTTTACGACCGTTCACAAGGGCGCTGTTGTAGTTTTCGTACTAAATCTTTTGATGGCGATACGAATACGCAAACGATTCGAACTCGAAAGTTTTTCGTGCTAGCCGTACTGTTCTGTCAATGCGGGTCCAATGACAGTTCAACTTTCCCCCGGGACAAACTTGACCTTCACTGGTTGGGTTATAGGGGTTCAAGCTGTAGATCCTGGCTACACAGGAGTTGCAGCGGTGGGAACGAGAGGTGGGAATAGTTCCGTACTTAGTGTTGCCTTTATCCGAAATCGTTTAGGCGCGATTGGTCAGAATTGGACCAATAGCGAATTGGACCAATCGCGAATTGGACCAATCGCGAATTGGACCAATCGCGAATTGGACCAATCGCGAATTTGTAAATTTTTCATGATTGGACCAATTGCGAATTGTATCAATCGCGCCTAAACGATCCGATTATCCAAAACTTGAATCGGTTTCGGATATTTTTTATTTCGGATATCCGATAAACTTATAACCCATTGGTTACGGATATCCATAGCATCCCTGCTCACAACACTACGCGGACTGTCTTCAGCTGTTTTCGTTTTCGGGGCGTCGGCGCAAGTGCTGTGTTCGCGCATGCGTGCTCATAGCCGTATGTTGCGCGAACGTCGCTGGACAATGCGCGCATTTGTACGGCCGCTCGCCTGTGTGCGTGCGTCGGTGGTTCGCTAAGATGCGGTTGGTCTGCAATAGTTTAATTTGGACTGTGAGACAAGGCTACAGAGTTCAAAATTGTGTGGTAAGTAATAAATAAATAAATAATAAATATCCTTGGACATTTTACACTGCGCTTCTAGTCCCAAACTAAGCAAAGCTTGTACTATGGGCACTAGACAACGGATATAAACATACTTAAACACTTTTTTTTAAATACATACATAATATACATAGTAACACCCAGACCCGTCACAGAAATTAAAATTCATCATTTCAATTCCTGCCCGGCCGGGAATCGAACCCGGCACCTCTCGGCATAGTAGTCCGTTCTGAAACACTACACCAAACGGACGTCAAAACGTCGCAAGTATATTACTATAGGGCAGTTGCCACCACCAATCAATGGAGAAGTTTCCATTTTTTTTTCTATTAATAAACCTTGAAAGTATAAGTAAAATCTATATAAATAAAAATGAATTGATGTTCGTTAGTCTGATTAAAACTCGAGAACGGCTGGGCCGATGGAGCTGATTTTGGTTTTAAAATGTTTGTCTTAGTCCAGGGTAGGTCTAATCGGTGACAAAATACGCGCGCGATATTGTTTTTCTGTGACAGACAAAATTTCACGCGGGCGAAGCCGCGGGCGGAAAGCTAGTTAATAATAATTGTGACAGAATCATGAAAATATCTCTACAAATAAAGAAGTTACAGGGGCCCAAAGTTGCGCATTACAAATATTTCGCGCCATTTGATCGGTGACGTCACGGCACTGATTCGGAGTAAAACAGTGAATCACCCCTGGTCCAGTACTGTTGACAGATCCAATTTTTATAGTTTTAAATATTTCATCCAGGGTCACTCAAGATTATTTCTTAGCAAAATTTTGTAACCTTGTTTTGACATAATATCCCAGACCTGGCCATATACAAAAAGAAGAAGACTTTGACATTAAAGTGTCATTCTCGACAATGCGCCAGGGGTGGTAAGCAACGTGGTTGAAACTAGAACGGGTCACGGCACCGCTTGTTTGAGTTTTATGTCAAAATATGTAGGTAATTTAAATAATTAATTTCTCGGCCATTTCTTGATGGATTTAAAGAAAAACTTCACCGTCTTTTTCGTTTTGGTCTATATTTTAATCCCATTCAGTGAAATATAATGTTTTCAACATCACGAAACTTCTCCATTGACGTACTTTTTAAAACTGTCAGAACGAGATCCATAGATTTTGTATGACATAACTATTATGTCAACTCAATTAAACTACATTTTCAATTACAATGCAACTAAAAATCTTAATTTACAAGTAATTTAAAATTAATTAGTTTTTTAAGACCAGGATGAAGCGCTTTTTTAAAAAAGTTGTAATTTAGAATAATTGGGGAGTGGTGGCAAATACCCCAATATGTGGTTGGTATATTATAGGGATGTTATGGATATGTAGTTTCGGTTATGGATACGGTTACGGACATAGGAATAATATTATACCGGTTTCGGCTACGGATATTTTTTTATTTCGGAACATCCGAGAGTTTCGGTTACGGTTACGGATATCTGTGCTTTAGAATGCAATTTGCAATAGTTGTCAGAAACTATCCGAAACTTTTGAATCGGTTACGGTTTCGGATATTTTTTTATTTCGAATATCCGAAAGTTTCGGTTACGGATATCCATAACATCCCTGATATTTACAATAACTGAGCGAGCGAGATGTCACTAGCAGTAACACTGTGTGATCACATACAATTCTACTAATATTATAAATGCGAAAGTTTTGATGTCTGGATGTTTGTTACTTTTTCACGCGAAAACTTCTGAACGGATTTTGATGAAACTTTACAGTATTATTGTTTCTAACATATATTCTATAATTTATGACGATCTGTGACACTAAATTTCACGCGGGTGAAGCCGCAGGCAAAAGCTAGTCTGAAATAATTGTCAAATAGTTGCAATAAACGGTTCTGTTTGACGTGACGGCGACGGCATCACGCATCTCTTTTTATCACACAGTGTTGCTGCTAGTGACATCTCGCTCGCTCAGTTCTTTGTTGTTCTATTCCGCTAAAGTACGGCCAACTGGCAGCGATACAAAAGGTCGATCCGACTGTCAAGTTGACAATCTATTGTGTATTTGTCGTAATGTCTCGTTCTCCCGCCAAAATATATCAAAGTTAGACGGGTTCGTCAACATTCGGACATACATTTTAGTATACATAGTTGTTGCAATTCACGATGGCGAATCTGTTACTTGTCGGTTCTTATTTTATTATCCCGATATAATATTTAAGTCTATGAAAAAGGGGTAGGCCTGTTGCCATACACAGGGCACATTATGAGGCAGAAATGTTATTATTATTCTCGTTATTTAATTTAAATCTACATTATACAATAATTCAAATTAAAATAAAAACAAAATTCAATAAAACATCTATTTTTTAAAACTATAATTGTCTACAAAAATATCTAATCTAATTATTAAAAAGTTATGCACCCCTGCTATTCCAAATGACCATGACATTGGGTTTGTTTACATTTGGTATCGCTTTTCGTTGGCCGTACTTTAGAGTAGGCGCACACCTTTGATTTTTAGTAGGCCGATAGTTGTGCCCGATTTCAAATTGTATGAAGAATCGGCCAAATCGAATCGGCGTAGTGTGCGCACTCCCATACATGCCCATACTGATCAACTGCCCGACTAAACTGTCGGCCGACGAAAAATCAACGATGTTAGGTATATTAACTTTATGGTGTCAAGGCAACGTACGCTGAACCCTCGCCCGCATATGTCACACATTTTGTTTTTCGGCATCGGAATCTTCTCGTGCACGTGTTGTCTGTGAGTCCGCGCTGAGAACGCCGAGCAGAAGGTCTGTGGAATCAAAAAACATACTGCTTTAGTGAATTGGGATTATTAAAAATAAAGATTATTAGCAATTTGTATTGCACAAATTACTAATAGTCCCGTTAGCCACTCGTGATAAGCTAAATAAGCTTGTGTTACGAGTGGGCTCACCACAATAGTCGAGCGGCGGTGGGATTCGAACCCGCGTTCCTCAGATCTCGAGTCGGCCAGGCCGACCCCTTCACCGTTCGGCTATCGTGGCTATAATATACCCATGATGATGGTAATGAAATCAAAATTCTAATTAGTCAGTCAGACAGACAATAAAAAATATTGGTCACATATTTTTTCATTTTTTTCATAATCGAATCATTACAGTGCGCAGTGTTATATTGAGTTGGTGTCGCGCGCGTGACGTCACTTTTGAGTAAAAAATCTACTCGAAACGTGACGTCACTCGACATTTCAACTCGATGTAGCACCACAGAATAATAATAAGTACTACGTACAGAAGTTATACTTCGCGAAGGTATTAAAAAAAATGTATGCTCAATGTCATTAACAATATGGTGTAATTTAGCCTGTCTCAAGAGTCAAGCACCATTTTGTTGACAAACGCCAGTGATCGGCACTGCACCGAAGCTATAGGGCTGACTTCGGTAAAATGATGTGACGTGAGGTGCCAAACTGCGGAAAATGGCGGAGGAAATACATGATTTAGCATGAATTATCATGAATAATATTAACTACTTATTTACCTCTCAGTGTCTTGAGGCAACTTAAAAAAGTATATTCTGTGTTTTTATTATTATTTAGGCAGTTAAATACTGCACAGTATTTAGTACACCATTTTCTTTATTTTCCTCCATCATACACAACAATACGCGTGCGTGAGTCAATGTTCGCTCGTATGTGAGGCCTTGTCGAATAGTATCCTGTGGGTGGGCCATCGTGCGTGTTTTGTTTTCGATGTAAACTCGCGGAGATGAACAGGCCTGGTAGCACTGTTATTATTTAATTATGAAAGAAAATAAAAGACGGTTCCATAGTGGACAACTGCTTGTTTAAACTCATAGCAGACATATCAACTCGGAAAGGGATCAACACCGTATCGCCTTTTGCGAGCTGTCTTCGCTTGCGCTGTCAACCGCGAGGCGAGGCGTTTACGTTACGGCGCGGATAAGTGTGCGTTGAAGTATGGAGTTTCATATAAAGAATATACTGACCGCCTCGAGTTAATACGGTTACGATCCCTTCCTTGAACTTTTTTTTCTGTATTTGACGTTCATAAGTGCCACTAGCGGTCAAAATTGAATTGATTTTGATTTTTTCCGGGTTGAAAAAAGTGCTACGGTCTTTAAGCCGCCGGGTTGTAGGTTGACCCACCTTGTTGCAAATGTCACATCGATGTTTAGTCGTGTTGACATGCACAGACTTGTAATGGTTGGTCATCCGGATCTTACGAGCGAAGACTTTGCCGCATTCTGGGCAGGGGACCCTGCAACAAACACAATCATGATGGTAGAACACGTAAAATTACGAATAATATACTATGAACAAATTAGTGTATATGGATGATATACTACTATTTGCTGTATGCAGAACAAGCACCTGGACGTTAAGTGAGATGCTGTCTAGGATAACAAACTAACAGACTAATTTAAACTCTTGCTTTTATACCTAGGAAACATTCCTATCACTGTTACTAATCGGCCGTTTGGTGTAGTGGTTCGAAACGGATTACTATTCCGGAGGTAGCGGGTTCGATTCCCGCACAGTACAAACATTTGTGTGCATGAATATATTTGTTTGTATTGGACTGGGTGTTTTCTATGTATAACAAGTATGTATTTATAAAAAAAAAAGTATTTAAGTATGTTTATATCCGTTGTCTAGTACCCATAGCACAGAATAATAATAAGTACTACGTACAGAAGTTTTACTTCGCGAAGGTATTTAAAGAAATGTATGCTCAATGTCATTAACAATATGGTGTAATTTAGCCTGTCTCAAGAGTCAAGCACCATTTTGTTGACAAACGTCAGTGATCGGCACTGCGCCGAAGCTATAGGGCTGACTTCGGTAAAATGATGTGACGTGAGGTGCCAAACTGCGGAAAATGGCGGAGGAAATACATGATTTAGCATGAATTATCATGAATAATATTAACTACTTATTTACCTCTCAGTGTCTTGAGGCAACTTAAAANTGTACCTCTCAGTATCTTGAGGCAACTTAAAAAAGTTCATTCTGCGTTTTTATTATTATTTAGGCAGTTAAATACTGCACAGTATTTATTACACCATTTTCTTTATTTTCTTCCATTATACACAAGAATACGCATGCGCGAGTCAATGTTCGCTCGTATGTGAGGCCTTGTCGAATAGTATCCTGTAGGTGGGCCATCGTGCGTGTTTTGTTTTCAATGTAAACTCGTGGAGATGAACAGGCCTGCCCATAGTACAAGCTTTGCTTAGTTTGGGACTAGAAGCGCAGTGTAAATGTCCAAGGATATTTATATTTTTATATTTTTTAATTTTTTTTTTAAAGTACGCGCGCTGGTATCTTTAAGAGCTTTTCCAGCTTCACCGGGCAGAGTGGCGAGTACAGAAGGTACTCTAGCCGTCTGACGTCATGACTTGTCCCACCCCCTGTACCAGAAGCTGATATGACTTGTCCCATCTCCTATATTTAACAGAAGCTAGGTATGACTTTTCCTCCCGCCCCCTAGGCCAGAAACTACGTATCACTTGCCCCCTCTTAGTTCAGAAGCTAGGTATGACTTGCCCCCCCTATAGTCTGGTCTGCGAGCACGTAGAATTTTGTCCAATGACCCCAAGCTAACCATCCTTATCGCTCGCGCGTAATTATGTTGCTGTCGCGCTCGCACACTCACTGCGGGCGCCCATCGCACAGTCGCGACAGCAATATAATTACGCGCGAGCGATAAGGATGGGTAGCTTGGGGTCATTGGACAAAATTCTACGTGCTCGCAGACCGGGCTTTAGCTCACTATTACTATTTTTAACTAACCTGACCCTCTTAGGCGGTGTGTGCTTAGCAGCCGTCGCTAGATGTCGCTTATACTTGTACACCGTCGGGAATTGCTTGTCGCATTCCACGCAGTACGCCAGTTCGACGCTCAAGTGACTACTCTTGGTCAAGTGTGGGTGTTGCATGCGGTAGTGGTTCTCTAAGACGTGGTAGTGAGCGTAGGTCCGGTTACATTCTATGCAGGTAGCTGGGGTGTGGTGGCGCCTGGGAAATCAGAGATTAGAATTGAATAGAAAACGTTTATTGACATAGTAAGTACTAAGTACTAAAAGACTATATGACACCATTCTCCAATATAAAATATTAGTTTTAAAATAACCTGTAAATTAAGGTTTTAGGGGCATTGTAAATGAGGAGTGTCTTTTCAAAAGGGGATACCTACATTCTATCTTATTTTTCACAAAATGGGAAAAACTTATATGGGAAATATTTACAGACCTACCGAAAAGCATTATTTCTGTTATGAAACTATTTCATTACAGTGTTCTAACTACACTTTTTGCCAAAAAATATGACTTGTTAATTTAAAGTTACAGAGTTCAGAAAAATCATAATATCCTCTTTTGACACGGATCTTTTATAATATCCCCCTTTGTTCTGTACTTACTGTAAATATCCCCTTTAGTTGAGCCTACTATTTTGTAAATATCCTCTTTTGTATTGTACATCTCAAGATTTTAAATGATAATAAAACACAGATTATTCTTTTTTTTAATAATAATAATGACCAAAATTAAAGACGCTACTAAACAGAATTATATTTTTTTAATTATTAGACATTCAAATCCTGAGCCCCGATTACGGTAATTTTTAACGTCTACAATCCAGACACGCTTCTCGATTCTGCGATACGATTGGTCGTTCAACAGCGTACGTCAGCTGTTTTGACCAATCGTATTGCAGAATCAGAAACGCGTCTGGATTGTAGACGTTAAAAGTTACCGTAATCGGGGCTCTGATTTGTCCAATATCAGGTGTCAGACAATCACACAACATAGATTCCGTTTTACGTTAATTTTGCGTTCCGTTCTACAGAGTAAAATGTCTAAAAATAAATCCTAAAGCATAAAGTTAAAGGAAATAAAACACTATGTAAAAGTAAATATCCCGTTTTGAAACGGCTAATTGGTATAGTGTAAATATTTGTATTGTAAATATCCTCTCTTGTTATGAAATGAAAAATAACTATTATTTTTTTAATTTTGTAAGTGTAAATATCCTGTTCTGAAATGAACACTCATATTTGAAGCTGCTTTACTTGGGAGAATATCCCGTTTTGATTAAGATTCAAGTGACGAAAGTGAGTATTCAGCACTAAGAACAAGACTGCATACTCAGTTTAATAAATAATAAAAATGTAAATATCCCCTTTTGAATAGACACTCCTCAAATATTGTAATTGAAAAAAGTAGTTTGAGTTGACAAAATACGACGGTGAACGCCAGACCTACGTCATTTTATAAAAGCTGTAAGTTTGTCAGCGTATATGCTCCCAATATAGATTACAATGTTGGTGAATCATGATGATTGGGTCATCGTGGCTTTGGCAGCTATCCTAAAAAAAAAACTGGCAAGGAGTTAGTCTATATGGGAGTCTCGTTTTGATAGTTTTAAACAGGGATTTTATGGATATCCGTAACCGTAAACGAAACTTTCGGATATCCGAAACCGTAACCGTAACCGATTCAAAAGTTTCGGATAGTTTCGGATGTAGGCAGTTTAAATTGTCTTTTGTATAGCATTATGTGTAAGTAAAGGCATAACAGCCTGATATACCTTTATAATGCCATCTATAGTCTGGTCTGCGAGCACGTAGAATTTTGTCCAATGACCCCAAGCTACCCATCCTTATCGCTCGCGCGTAATTATGTTGCTGTCGCGCTCGCACAGTCGCGAAATAAAAAAATATCCGTAACCGTAACCGAAACCGGTATAATATTATTCCTATATCCGAATCCGTATCCATAACCGAAACTACATATTCATAACATCCCTAGTTTTAAAAAGTACGTCAATTGATTGGTAGTGTTAACACGTCTATTGGATTATTTTATTATCTTATAGTCTGGTCCGGGAGCACGTAGAATTTTGTCCAATGACCCCAAGCTACGGGCTACCCATCCTTATCGCTCGCGCGTAATTGTATTGCTGTCGCGAGCGATAAGGATGGGTAGCTCGGGGTCATTGGACAAAATTCAAGGGCTCCCGGACCAGACTATAGATGAAAAAGACTATAGTCTACTCTTTTTGGGACATTCTGTATACGCGATAAAATATGTTTTTTAACTCACTTGATATGTATCTCCAGTGTTTTCTTTTTAACAAAACTCTTGTTACAGTGGTCGCATATGATTCGCTCGTGGCTTTCCTTGTAGTGGTTGCTGAATTCCCTTAGAGTACTGAAACAAGTAAAAAGGCAGTTTTTGATCAAATACCGACAATAGGGATGTTTCCTGGGTAAAAAAGCAAGTTTGAATTTGTCAGTCAGTTAACTTGTAAAAAAATATTCCATACGTATTTTTCACTTTTTCAAACTAATGAAAATTTAAAGAAATAAAGCGCGCCAAAGCTCAAAAGATGAGGCGCGTGACGTCAAGGTTTGTTTAAAAGTGTAGCACTTTGTGACGTCACGGTGAACTGCAAGACACCATACAATAAGTAATTGAAAGAAAAAAAATTCAATAAGAAATTTTTTAAATTTCTCAGATATTTTTTGTCGATAAAAATAGGTCTAGTTTTACCTATTTTCATATGTGCACTTTATCAAGACTCACACTGTATTTAGATAGATTATTTGTTGTGATGATAAAGAGTCTTATTGTTATTACTATAGTCTGGTCCGTGAGCACGTAGAATTTTGTCCAATGACCCCAAGCTACCCATCCTTATCGCTCGCGCGTAATTATGTTGCTGTCGCGCTCGCACACTCACTGCGGGTGCCAGTCGCACAGTCACGACAGCAATATTATTACGCGCGAGCGATAAGGATGGGTAGCTAGGAGTCATTGGACAAAATTCTACGTGCTCACGGACCGGGCTTTATTAGTGCTATTTTGGAACTAAACTCGCCTGCAGGTAATATCGCAGTCGCGACATGCGTACGCGCGTGCGTGCGAGCGAGACAGATGCTTGGTGAGCGCCGCGCGGGAGTGAGACAGCCAACCGCACGCCACGCATGCGTAGTACGCGTTATGACGTCGCCAATGCTTGCGTAAGGCTTGCCAGGAGGATATCGTGACGTCACATTCGGTGCATTTCGATGGGGGAGACTGGGGACAAATTAAATCATCATTTTCGTTTCAGCTATAGAACGCCCACTGCTGGACTTAGGCTTCCCAATGATTTAAATCATTGCCATATTTAGGGTGTTGATTATGTAGCTTATTATGATCACAAACCAGTAAAAAAATTTACTTTGAAAAACATTTTAAATGACCTTAAACTTTAGTTAGTCGAAGAAAAATTACTATTTACACTACTACTTTTACGTGGCTTCTTTCAGTAAATAAATAAATAATGAACGGTCTTGCGCTGCCCGCATCCAGGCCATTACGCTCCTGTATATTTAGATTAAAATTACAATGCATTACCTACCTTCAAAGATAAATTACCTCCATATGGTTGAAAACCTCGTGCCTTCTTAGATCGATCGACCGCCTGTAAGCCTTCTTGCAAACCTTACACTTAAACGGCATCACTTTATGTATAGCTTTGTCTCTCTCCAACAACTCTTCTATCTCCTTCTCACTTAACACAACCTTACTGCAATGTTTCTTCATATCTGTCAGATCTACATTTAAATCTGTTATTATAGCCTTGCTTTGATACTTCAATATACTCTGATTCCCGACCTCCTCTGATTTGATTGTAGATTTTTTCTTCTTAACATTTATCTGGTCGTTTTCCAATTCTTTTAGCTTGTCAAAATCTATAGTCAGCACTTCGTTATCACTGTAGCTGTCATCGTTGAGGTAACTGTCATTATTGAATCGGTCTTCAACAGTAATCTCAATGTCATTGGGCTCTTGTTTTATGACATCGACTAGAAAATTTTCAGGGGGCGTTTCTGAGATGGCTTGGGGCAAGATATATTCGATGTCATAGTCAAATTCTGCATCGTAGATGTCTTTTTTGACAGTGTTTAAATTAGTTAGAGGTGTTAGGGGAATGTTTTCCTGAAAGAATACATTTTTAAAGTAAAACAACACATTTACTAAAAAACATTAAAATTTTCAGGTTTCTAATGCCTGTTTTCACCATCAATCCCTAATTTTTAAGTAACCCCTATGGTGACACATAACAGATAGAAAGAAAAAATCTTTATTTGACAACTTAATAGTAAAAATAAATACATTCATAACATTTTACATCACAAACATCAAAAGGAGAAAGAAAAAAGGAAAAAAATAATAATAAAGTTGTCAAAAAGGCCACCCACTCAGTAACGTCTTGGCCCGTTTGCCAAGACCGGCCAAGACACTGATTTTCAGTGGGCGCCTTTTTGTACGTTGGGGCATTCAATTATAAAAATAAAAAATTAAAAAATTGCATTAAAAAATTAAAACATTATAAATTAAAATTAACAGGAATTTTGTTTTCATAGGGGTCACTTAAACGGGCATAAGTAAATCTTAATCAAGGTTTAGATTAGCAATAAAATTTGCATAAGTTGACTTAACAGTACTGCCGTCTATAAGCTAAAAGGCCGCTAAATGACAAAATCTAATTTTGAGCTAGAGCAGAAAAAAGCGGCAAAATTTTCAAACCGATGCTGCTCAGTATC